ACTTTTTAAAATTGTATTAAACATTTACATTCTTTAAACGTCAATATTTACAGAGTTATTAAATTTTCCAAAACAAAGAATTTTAGAACACCCTTACATCTAAAACTGTAATGTAATGTTCATTGGTAAAGGTCAAAAAGCATATGAATGGGTTGAATGAATTTAAAAGAGACAAAACATACTGTTAGAAGGAGAGACTTGTAATACGACGCTGTGACGCGAGTTGTATAGGATGTTACAAATTTTGTTTCTTTTTTACTTAATTAGTTTGTTTGAAAAATATATTTTTTTAATTATGGATTTTGTTTAACGTTAATATTTTTTTATGATTATTAGCAAGTAGCGTTAGACGTGTGTTCATTTATTGTCGCGTTGGTAACGACACGCTGTATATAATTTTTGAAGTAAAATTTGACGATTCATAAGAACGCGCAAGCGTCTATTTGAATAAATATATTTTTGATTCGATTTGATTTATGGCACTTAAATTTAAAAAAATTTCATTTCTCTCTTTCTCAAAACAGACCTGCTCTTTGTGCCCCAATTTGTGGCAGTAACTTCATTTAACAATATTTTTAAGCGACTTAGGTAAGGGCTTTAACATTTTTCGTCCGGGGTAAAACTTCACTTGATACGACCCGAATGGCCTTGTGGGTAGTGTACCTGCCTCCTGCGCCAGAGGGTTTGGGTTCGATCTCTTTATAGTGTTTTTCTAGTGTCCGGGTGTTTATATATTTATAATATGTTTTTATTTACAAAATAAAAGTATGTTTATCACAAGTTGTTCTACAAGTTTTAATGTTTAATCTTAAGGGCAGAGATTAGCACTATAAAAAACTTAAATTCCCTATATTTACCCAGTCAAAGAAATTACATTAGAAGAAGTTCAATTACATGACGTGGAATTTTTATTTTTCTGGTCCTATCAACGCTTATTGGGGTCTCAGCGAGTCCGTAGTTCCACTTTGCAACAAAACAGATTATCGCCCTACCACTGCTGCTTTGTATAGCTAAAAGAATACTTTGTTTCTTATCGAAGCCACAGTGTAAATGTTGAAGGAGCTTTTGTTATTCTTACGACGTCCCCCAAGCCCCAAGTCGAAAAAATGTCGCCCTTTATTATAAACAACACGTAGTAGACTGTGACCCTGTGTGTGAACAACACAGTCGATTTTGAAGGAGCTCTTGATACGCTTCATTTCAGTGCGTTATTATAAAAGAATACATATTTAAAGAAATCGACACTCCACTTTCGCAGTTTAACGTCTCAAAACCAATTGGCCATTCTAGCGGTTGCGTTTACAGACGCCAATAAATCATTGATTAGCGTTATAATCGTTAGTTTCTTAATAATTTTACGGATGAACTTTTTAACGGGCGATCAGCGCTAAGTGGTGTCTCTGTGTTGGACAGTAAGCGTGATGCACCGGTCTATGACACAGAATCCCATCTCTGATTCCCGGGCGTGTTGACTGAATCTCGAAGAAGAGTAAATGTGTGAAGAGGTGTGAGTTGCCAACGGAATGTGGGACATTTTCTCTATGGCCGCAAGGAACCGCACTGTCTCGCGTTGCCGCACGAATTTGGATGATCATGTCGACGATTTCTGCGTTATCGCCCACGCCTCGGAGCTGCGGAATAATGAAGCCGAACATAGTACAGATCGAGCCCAGGAAGCCATTGGTAACAACATAACTTTACAACCGCTTATAATTTTTTTTTATATATATTTTAGTACACCATTTTTACACAACGTTCCCTAGTCGCAAATTAAGCAACGCTTGTACTATGGGCACTAAATAACTGATAAACATACTTAAACATACTTTTATTTTGTCAATAAAAACAAAGTATTTATTGTACATAAGTTATTGTACACCAAGAAACATTACAGTATTTATAATTGAGAAAAAAAACACACGGGTACAACAGGCGGCCTTATCGCTTAAGCAGCGATCTCTTCCAGGCAACCTTAGGGCCGAGAAATTCATTAAAAGAAGAAAGTGGCAGGGGTGTACTAAATAAATATTAAGAAAAATACGTACATAGTAATACATAATATTATATACATGTAACCAGAGAAAAATATATAATGGACAAAAATATAACACATATTACACATATATAAACACCCAGACACAAGAAAAACACTATGTCCGTCACGCAATATTTTTCCAGTAGTGGGGATCGAACCCACACCGTCTAGCTCAGGAGGAATGTACACTACCCACTACGCCATTCGGGTCGTCACCATTATAGCCCTGAAGCAGCTGTTTAACTCTGGTAGGGCCACGCAACACCTTCGGCTGTTGCACTAATGGGCTGGTACCTCCGGGTGAGTACCACGACCTCGCAGAAGACCGGCGTGAAGTGGAAGTGAGATCGTCTGGTGAGTGAGGTAGCCGGGGCAGACTTTATTATGAGGTGGCAGCGCATCTGCAACACTACAGGTTTTGCAGATGTCATTGGGCGGCGGTTATCACTTAACATCAGGTGAACCGACAGCTCGTTTCCCATAAAAGAAAGAAAGATTTAGACGCCAAAGTAAAAGCATCAGCCTCGCTACGTTGGTCTCTGCTTTTCAACCGACTAACAAAAGGAGGTACTCAATTCGACTGTGTTTTTTTTTGTTTGTTACCTCAGAACTTTCGACTGCGTGGATCGATTGGATGATTCTTTTTTTTTTTTTTTTCTTCCCATATAAATTTCATTGGTATTGGATCTCGGGCTCCGGGGATAATCAGGGAACTCCTGAAAGTCAATTATAAAATAAAATGAATAGAGAGCGAAGCCGGTTTTGTTTTTCGTTATATTTTGCCATTTTATTCTACCATTTCACTGATATAAATAAATTCGGGTCATATTATTACACAACGTCATCTAGTCGTAGCTTATAATAAACATATTTATAGATAATTTTCTTTTGTAAATGTACACATATAATAGACCTTGCCATTACCTTACCTTACACCCACACACTAGAAGAACTATGTTCATCACACAATATTTCTCCAGTAGTGGGGCTCGAACCCACACCCGCTGGCACAAGAGACAGGATCACTATCTACCTCCTAACAACTGGATGGTTCTACAAAATTGTAATACAGTATGTTTTAAGCTTTGTTATGCTAAATTTGATTCCGTATGGTGACGACCTGGTGATCTATAATACAGGTTTTACATCTATAACGCGCGATCTCTAGATTAAATTGTTTACTTAACCGGCGTAAAATAGAAGTGTTACACTTCTGCATTTCGTCTAGTGAGTGAGGTAGCCGGGGCCCACTTTATTTAAAGGTGGCAACACATTTGCAACCCTCGGGTGTTGCAAATGTCCATGAACGGCGGTTATTACTTAACATTACGTGAACCGCTATCTCGTTTGCCACTTTTTAACAATTAAAAAAACCTATTTCTAAAGTCAATTACTGCATTGCATTGCAGTATTAGGAGTAAATACCATTACTAAATAGACCAATGAACTCGATGGCTCCAAGGGAACACGTCCAGTAGGGCACCAAAAATATTATGGCATTCAAACCACCCAAAGGCCCAACATTTCTTTGGGGTAGCATTAGTGTCTCATTTCCAATTGTAATGCATGGGCAGTTAAGTTGACCCTCTACTTACCACACCAACGCCCGGTTTCTGAAACGCTGATCATCGTAGATGTCAACTAATCTATAAAACTTAAAACATTAAACTCTTTCAATTGATCACTGTGATCATTAAGAAGATCATTGTGATCCATTCAAAGATCAAATGACAGAACTCAAATGACATTTGAAAAGCCATTTGACAGATGATTAGTTGACGTCTACGATGATCACGGCCTATTTCTGAAACACTGATCATCGTAGATATCAACTAATCAGCTTTCAAATGGTTTTCAAATTTCATTTTAAATGCCAAAAGGATGGTTAAACTCTTTGGATTGATCGTTCTGAACATTAGAAGATCATTCTGATCAATTCAGAGAGTTTAACCGTCCTTTTGTCAACTAAAACGAAATTTGAAAAGCCATTTGACGGCTGATTAGTTGACATCTACGATGATCAGTGTTTCAGAAACCGGGCGTCAGCGGACGAAAAGGAAAAGTGTAAACGCTTGTACTCTGCCGCGTCGCTTTTTTACGTTAATAGTTCCTTCCACTTCACAGCGGCCTTCTGTTTAGGCGTCATACTCCCTATGCGATCATCTTCTACGTATCTGATGCGTGCCTTAACCGTATCCAGGATAACCAAGAGTCGCTATCCTTTTAAAAAAGGCCCGTGGAACTATTTATTATCAGCAGCTATTGTCAGCAGATTCAGTTCGTCGTTAGGATTCGTTGCAAGTGTCATTTATATTGTATAAAATGTATTGTTTATAGAATATTGTGTTGTGTTTTATATTGTATCGTAATGTTTCGTTTAACTTTATATATTATGTAAATAAAATAAGAAAATGTCCTAAATCTATTCTCATATTATACTTACTGATTATACGTATATATAATATGAGAACGAGAATATATATATATAATAGAATATTTCATCAAAATCCGTCAAGCCGTTTCGGAGGTGTGTAAACACTAAAACTGTGACACAAGAATTTTATATATTAGATAATGTTTTATGCTTTTTTTGCACCTCAGTGTAAAGAAAGTGTTTTAAAGAAACTACCCTAAGAGAGTTTGATTGGTAGGAAATCCACTTTTACATTAGCCTGAGGCAGGGCCACGGAACAGCTTCGGCTGTTGCACGAATGGGCAGGTCCGTCCGGGTTAGTACCACGACCTCACAGAAGACCGGCGTGAAGTGAAGTGAAGTGGAAATGTCATTTGTTCTTTCCATAAGGTCCACTTCATTGAAGGGGGGCAACGCATCTACAACCCTACGGCTGTTGCAAATGTCCAAGGGCAGGTGGTTATCACTTAACATCAGGTGAACCGCCAGCTCGCTTGCCGCCTCCTCACGTAAAAAAAGCATTTAAAATAGATAAATCCATTTGTTCTCTAGTGACGAACGGCGAGGCGGCCTACGGGGAAGACGAAGCCGGCGACACCCTACCCACTGACATGTCCGACACGACGGACAGCGAGCCAGACAAACATCGCAAGTTCGTATTGCCTCCAAATCAAATCAAATCATCTTTATTCTCAGAAATACGGCGGATAAAGATTTCCAGTATAGATAAAGTACAGACATATTTGACCTCATTGGCATGCAAATATTATAATTAATACAAACATAATCGAAGCACAAATGCTATTAGTTACAGTAAATTAAAACAAAAATGGCAAATAACATAATTAATACAAACAAAATCTAAGTATGTACAAATGCTATTAATTACAGTGAATTTAACCAAAAATTAACCAGAATCGTCGAAATTTTTAAAAATAACAAATATTATCATTCACAAAAATATGATAAATAAATAAAATATAATGTCATTCATTTACTACAACAACATAAACAAATTGAATAAAAGAGACCGTTTCAAACAACGCTATCTAACGTAATTGCGTATGTGTTATGTGATAACACACCCTGGAAATGAATTGATCGCTCCAGGTTATTTCATGTGGACTTTAATACATTGTAAACATGTTTCTTTGTCATAAAAATAGACACGATAGTAAAAAATGAGAAAATGTCCCGCTGAGTTTCTTACGCCGGTTCTTCTCACATTCTCGCAGTTTCTTTCTTTTCCGAACGATGTTTTTCTTCACCACTGAACAATTGGTAAATCAGCACTTAATCCCAATAAACAATTTGATAATTCCAAGAAATCCAGGCAAAACTAGCATCGTGAGTTTGGACCAAATCATTGCCTCTAGTCCATAATTTTCTATATTTAAATAATCTCTAGAAACTCCACATAGGAACTCTTTTGATTCTCCCTCTGATATGTTAAACTCTGTCTGTCTAAGTCCCTCCTCCCATCCAATCATCGGCTATGCAAGACGTACAATTTATGTATATTTGTTCCTAGTATTTATATCGTCGTCGTTTTTTAGTAATAAACGTCAGGTTTTCGATTGTGATGCGAGTGTCTTCAAGAATAGAGTGAATAGACTGTTAGCTGAGCGAGTCTTACAGTTCACTATCTCAGATCTTATTTTTTTTTTATAACTTTCATTTTCGTTATTGAAAAACACTGCCCTCACTTTAGGATAACATTGTCCCGTGTTGTAAGGACGTTTTACAAACATAAATTTTTCACGGACAAACAACCAGAGGCGAAACAGCTGTCTGTGGGTCACATAAAATAGTTGTCCCGTGTGGGGCTCGTACCCACGACCTCCGACGCCGGAGCCAATACCTCGGCATCTGCGCCACGGAGTCATCAGATCACGTGATGGTAAAACATATCCCATTTACTAAATATATAATTCACCAAACTCCCGCCCCCTTCAGCTGCGGCGACGCGGATAAGTGCACGACCGCGCACGAGGGCAAGCTGTTCCTCAGCCAGGAGTTCCCCTTCAACATCGACCAGCTGTTCACGATGATGTTCACCAACTCCAAGTTCAACCTGGAGCTGCTCACGGCGCGCGAGACCACGGACTACACGCAGGTAAGAAAACTACGCTAAACCACAAATTACAAATACAAAATTGTGTACGTTAACTGTGGTAGGACCACGCAATAGTGTTCGCCGTTGCACGAATGGGCAGGTCCGGGTAAGTACCACGACCTCACAGAAGACCGGCGTAAAGTGGAAGTGATTTCGTCTGGTGAGTGAGGTAGCCGGGGCCCACTTTATTAAAAGATGACAACGCATCTGCAAACCTACGGATGTTGCATATGTCCATGGGCGGCGGTTATTACTTAACATCAGGTGAACCGCCAGCTCGTTTGCCACTTTCTCACATAAAAAAAATCATGAAACTAACTGACCCAGTAAACGTTGTTTTGCCATATTAGTTATTTCTAGGGAATTTGTAGGGTAGAAAAAATGTTTTGTGAGGCCCCTATCACTCAGGGCTGTGAAAAATAGATCACGACCGATTCTCGGACCTTTCAAATATACTGATACATATAAAATTTCATAAAAATCTGTGAAGCCGCTTCGGAGGCGTATGGCAACTAACATTGTGACGCGAGAATTTTATATTTATATAGATAAAACATTAGAAACTACCTCTAGTATTGACGTTGTTTTAATTTTATTGAATCATTGACATACTTATAAAGCATACCATATCATTGAACTCTTTACTTTGTTTATTTTAACTTAATTTAGTTTGTCCATAATTAGTGCTTAATGATTTGACTTGACAAAATAGCATAATTAAGCTGTGTATATTTATGATGGTTCATTTAATTTGTTTAAGTGCATATTAACCTCACTTTTTAAATAGATAAACAAACTCATAACATGGGTTCGATAATTATTTCGGATCTGGGTGTTGGTCCACGTGAAATTTATAAAGAAAAACGTCGTTTCAACACGGGATAACGTTATTTATTTATTTATTTTAACATCTTACATCTAGCATTACAGGAAAAAGAATATCCTAATTCGCTTGAAGTAGCATTAAATTTACCTTAATCTATCGGTTATCCAATAGCAAGGGATGATGTTTTCGAAGGGAAGACTTCAATAGAACTTTCTAGATCCCAGTAATCGTTGCGATTTAGTTTGTGTCCACTTATGTACGCACATAAGAAGCTTTAGGGTAACAAAAGAAAATTAACGAAGAATTTTATCCCCAGTACTCTTTTTTTGTGAAAAAGACATTGCAATTGATAACGTTTTAGTTAGATAACTTAGAATTATAGGTTTCCATTGTAATACGGTGTAGTTAGTGGCTTCGCAACCAACTTTCGATGACTCCGTGCGCAGTAGCCAAGGTATTGACTTCGGCGTCGGGAGTCGTGGGTTCAATTCCCACACGCGACCCACAGAAAGTTGTTCCGCATCTGGGCGTTTGTCCGCGTGAAATTTATGTTTGTAAAACGTCCTTACAACACAGGACACTGTTATCCTAAAGTAGGGGCAATTAAAAAAAAAGGATAAAAAAACTGCACCATGTAGCTTTTTGACTGTATTTTTTCCAAACGCGCCAAAAGAAGTGTAACTTCAATAATAAAATTAATAATACACAACCTAACTGTAAAACTACCCACAAATAGGAGCCCTGGCAAACGCAGGGGGCGCGTAAAGCGCGCCGCGTCAGCTATACCCTCGGTTTATCTTCGGGCCTTGTGGGACCCAAGAAGGTCCGCGTTACCGAGACACAGGTGAGTGAAGAAACCCTTTAATTCACACAAGGTATTTCTTTCGTTAATTTTTTATTTATTGCAAAGAACCACCATCTGAATGTCATTTTGTTTTGTACTTAAATATGACTATAGTCTTAGATACTGAGATTAACATGATTCCAAAAGCAAATGTGTACGATAACTTAATATTTTTTATAAATACTATTGCAGATATATATGACTACTGTAAAACAAAAAAAACAATAAAACAAGAATGTAATTTAAAAATGTAGGAAAATACCTTCAGACTAACTGAGCCACCAGCAACCGTCGTTTTCCCGCACATCTAGTGGGGCATCGTCCTACACTGCGATGGCCAGTACGAGGCTGCCATTCGCGAACCTTTCTCCCCCAACCGGAGACTGTAAAAACCTTTTCGGCCGCAGGTGATGAATAAATGCTCGAAACCCGGCGCCCTGTACTCGATAGACTCGACGAGCGAGAACGCGGGCATACCTTACGCGGACTACTTCAGCGTGGAGGTGCACTACTGTCTGCAGCGCGTCACCGAGTCGACCACCCACCTCTCAATATTCGGCCACGTGCGCTACAAGAAGAGCATGTGGCCGATGGTCAAAAGTGAGATATCGCCATTTGGATTAGTCAATGCACTAGCGACCTTCCAGGTGTCCGATTGCCGTCGTACTACACTTAACATTAATAACATATTACTAGACATTATTTGCAATTTCTATACTGTTTCAATATATTACTTGCATTGAGCGTCGAAACCATACCTTACTATGAGTGTTTAACAACTGCAAGTAAGTTATGGTTCTTGGAATCGAAATTTTCGGGACAGGTATTCTATGTATTTCATATTAACTAATGATGTTTAAACTTGGAGTTTTTATGAATAAATGGTCAAAAACTTTGGGTGTTGCACGATAAGAACTTGATTCTTCTGTGTAACGCGGCCAGATGGCACCAACGTTGCCAACGAAACTAAGCCACTGATGACTTCACGGAGCGAAATTCAAAACATCTATCTCTTTCAATATTTCATTTTTAACTTCTAGATTTTGATTTAGCATTTAGCTTATACAATTTACATATCATCTCTCACCGCTGCGGCAATTTGTTGGCTTATGGGTGCGAATCTGAAAGTTTTCGTTCATTTTTAACCGACTTCAAAAAAGAATGAGGTTCCTCAATTCGACCGTATATTTATTTTTACTTTTTTTATGCGTGTTCGCGCATAACTTTGTCATTTATGAATCGATTTTGATGATTCTTTTTTTATTGGAAAGGAAATATCAAGGGTTTTACCATGGTAATCCAGGAACCCAGGATCTGATAATGACATCCCAGAGAAATCGAGGGCAATCCTCAAATATTGTAGGTATTGACAATGTTTTTACTTTCCTGTTTGAAGTCTCTTTTGTTTTGTCCAAAATTGTTCTGCGTATTTTAATAGGAGTGATGTGGTATCCACAGCCTTGTTGGAGAACAACACGATGTCTGGGCTCGAGGAGTACGCGCGTCTCCTGGAGGCGAGGCTAGCGGCCGCAGCACCAGCGCCAACGAGGCACGCGCGCCGACGCAGGCGCCATCTAGGTGAGCATCTCGCCACCCGATTTACATCATGACTCCGTGGCGCAGTTGCCAAGATATTGGCTTCGACGCCGGAGGTCGTGGATTCGATTCTCACACGAGACTACTATTTGTACGATCCGTAGATAATTATATATGGGTGTTTATCCACGTGAAATTTATGCATATCTTTGAAAAAACAGTACTTTTCGAGGGAAGACTACAATAGATCTTCTCATCTTAGATGTCGTAGTGGTCGCTAGGACTTACTACCTTCCATACAAAATATAATTCAAAAACCATCACGTGTTGGGACTACGCAACGGTGTTGCACGAACGGGCAGCTCCGTAAACACCAGAGAACTCACTAGAACTCACAGAAGACCGGTGTGACGTGAAATGTCCTACTTCTGCGTTTCCTCTGATGAGTGAGGTAATCGGGGCGCACTTTATAATTATCAGGTGGCATCGCATCTGCAACCAAACGGTACTTATTACTCAGGTGAACCGCCAGGTGGTTTCCCATGTTTTTAATATAGATACTCTTTTTCCAGCGACGGTTGCCCAGGAGCCATTGGCAGGTCCCCTCGCCGCCAGGGGGCGAGCCGGTCCCGTGGCGGCAGGGGGCTCTTCCCGCTGGCTGCTCACCCTGCTGGTCGTCTCTCTGCTGGTGGTGAACGCGCTGCTGTACTGGCGCCTGGCCACGCTGAAGACGGCCACCTTCGACGCCGATCAGATGCAGGACAGGTGAGCGGAGTTCACCTCAATTAAGCTTTTTATAAGCCAAACAAAGGTTTCCTCGAAAAAATGGATAAGAAGAAGCCGTTATTCAGATTTAACTCGTCAATTTCGTCCCCCTCCCCTCCAATTGCAGGATGGGCTCGATGAGCGGTGCGCAGATGCAGGACTGGTCCCGGCTGCTGGAGCAGCACACGCTGCGGCAGCGCAGCGAGCTGCTCGCCTGGAGGGACGCGCTCGACCGCACCGTCGCGCACCTCGCACAGGTACGCACGCACGCACGCACACACGCACGCACGCGCACATGCACGCACGCGCACATTACGACACACGTACGTAAACAAAGGGAAGTGGCAGCGCAGGAACGCAAGCACACACGCACACGCGCGCACGCACACATTACAACACACGTACGTAAAAAAAAAGGGAAGTGAGCGCAGGTATGCACACTAAGGTATGTTGCGTACACACGTAAGCGATCAACGCCGCCCATCAACACTTGGAACATCGGAGGATCTGCATTTGCGCTGTCGGCCTGTGGAGTGAACACACACACAAAGGCAAAAACAGTAACATGACACCTTACATGTCCCAAGGTCAGCATATAGGATGCTGGGCAAAGTACTCCTCTGCACAGACTAGAGGGTATTAGGGCATAGTCCACTACACAATCCCACTGCTGATTGGCGGACATATTTTTTTTGTGTATTTTAAAAGTATGCTGTCACGATGGATTCTTCACTGCTGGGCATTATGTGTAAAGTTGCAAGCAAACAGGCAGCGTGCCCGGTGCTAAGTGACAGTTTCAACTTTTATAAACAGGACACACAAGAAACGCGAAAATATATAATAATACTTCTACTTCACGTTTTCTCCGAGTCTGTTGCTAAAATGTTGTGGTAAGCTTTCCCTGCTTTCTGCCAATTTGTTTTATCAATACAAAGGTATACAATTTCCTTTTTTTTATGAAAAACCAAAAAGGAAGCGAGCACTGGTGTGCGGTTAAAGTATTGCGAACGGATTGCATTGGCCTCTTCCAGACGGAGCAAGCTTTAAGAAAACTCTTGGAGACCATAAAGCCTTCCTTGGTAAAGGCTCAAGCGGAGGCGGAAACGGAAGCGGAGGCGGGGACGAAGGCGGAGGGGTCCAAACGGGCGGAAGCGGAGGCGTCACATAGCGAACTCTGAAGACGGCCAGTAGAAGCGCTATGGCGGGAATCGAGTTTTCAAAATACCTCTTTATCGTATGGTGAGAGAACATGATGAGGTGTTATCATCGGAGTACATGCTAAAAGGACCCAGAAGGTAAAAACTTATTTTGTTTACTTCTGCATTCGGAGCAATAGAAACTGTTGCAATGGACATTCAGACTTACGAGTTTCTCAACAGTGATTCTGTCTAATTTAGTTGCTATTTTTGTACTTTAGATTTGTTCTATCACTTATAGTTTATTAAATATAACAGCAATAACTGGCACTGTTGTAAAATGCAACAAATACATGCATTTTTTAATAACAACACATTAACAATCTCAATTTTATTTTGTATTTTTTGTGTAAAAAGACAGGTGACATTTGCGAATCTCTAAAGAGAACTTGCCATTTGTGATGAAACAGTACTTAGTGTTTACAACAGTCTTTATTAGGAAATGTATCGTTTACAAAAACATATACATTTTAGTATTTATTATGCACATTAATATTTTTTTAATTGGAATCTCGTTTCCATTTTTAAATCAATATAGCTTACAATAGAGAAAGTGCTAATAACCAATAATTTTTTGGCCATTGGAATTATGTCAGATATTTGCAATAGCCTGTAAAACCTGTAAAGTGTATGTAAAGTGACATTTTTGTGTCGGTGCGTAATTTGCACTGTTATTCAAACTAGCTATATCATAATAGATTATAATATGTAAGATAATTTATAATTTTTAACGGATTTCCTTATATCTGCAACAGATCCCAAAGGCAAATTTCTATATGTATTTATACAGCGTGTCTTTACAATAGCGACAATAAATGAACACACGTCTAACGCTACTTGCCAATAATCATAAAAAATATTAACGTTAAAAAAATCCATAATTATTTTTTTTTTCAAACAAACTAATCAAGTAAAAAAGAAACAAAATTTGTAACATCCCTATACAACTACAACTGATTGATTCATACATTCAGACACTTTTTCAATCGTTGCCACAGCGTCGCATTACAATCCTCTCCTTCTAACAGTATGTTTTGTCTCTTTCAAATTCATTCAACCCATTCATATGCTTTGTGATCTTTACAAATGAACTTTACGTTACAATTTTATTCGTAAGGGTATTCTAAAATTCGTTGTTTTGGAAAATTTTATAACTCGGTAAATATTGATGTTTAAAGAATGTAAATGTTTAATACAATTTTAAAAAATTGTCCTCTATTTGTGTGTACATTTATTGTCGCGATTGTAAAGACACGCTGTATATAACTATGTTTGTAGCTAATTTCATTTATGACTGACAAAGTCATGGAAAGATGTGAATTTTTATATTATTCTCAAGTTTACATATGGAGTCTCATGTTTGATTTTACCAGTAGTTCCTTAATTTCATCGTATCAGCAGTTTGATTCCACCTTTGATTCAGACACAAGAACTGACAGTTTTATTCTCAACAATATGTATGAATACAGTCTTGTCTCTTTGTCATGTGTGTTGTTCTATCATTAAGAAACCTTATCAATCAAAAAATCTAAGACAAAATTAAATTCGACAAAATTAAACTGTGTGTAAAACACTATTCAATACAAATAAAAGATTATATTGCATATTTATAGCAAGAAAAATGGGGAAGGTAGCCTATGCTCTTATAGTGTAGTAAGAAATAAAAACATAAGAATATATATTTTTATTGGTAACATCAGTCTTTAAAATATTTACTGAAAACACAACTTGCCAAATTATCATTCGATGCGTTATTATTACTAACGATACTAAGTGATCATCAAACCAACTAAAAGAGTAAGGAAATGGCTTTTATGCAAAACAAATATTCGTAGTAAAATTGTGATTATAAGGTAACTAGAATAAAATGTTTTATTATACAAAATGATGCGATATGTATACAGGCAAATGCCAAATTAGTTTTACTTTTAACTAAATAGATAGATAATACAAATAGTATAGACGTCATTGAAAACAATTATAAGCAATAAATGTTTATAAATGCATGCAAAAAGGGTATTGAGAGAAGATTCTTATTTACATGCTGTACATACAATGCAATTAGCGGCACAATTGCATATTTATGCTAAGTTTAAACTGACACGCTTAAACACGGGGATTTTTTTTCCGATGCTTTCGCGCAATTGTCAATTATATTTTAACAATTGACAATTGTCAATTATATTTTTAAAAAAATGCAGCATTACTAAAAGAACTTGAATGTTATCACCAACTCAATCTTTTCAATATTTTTATTTATTATTTTAAAATATTTTATCTTAATTTTTGATTTTTATATCATTATGCGATAGTTTAAGTTTATTTTTGTTTTACTTAATACAGTAATGTATGAAATCCTTTATTAGACAAAGCGCTTAATTCATAAATATAGGTTTATTGTATGTCTTGTGAAGCTGTAACCGTTAATGCGTTATTCAAAAATTTTGTATTATATTTACTTAAAATGTATAATTAATTATTGCAAAATAGACTTGTAATTAGTTTATTTGGTGATTTCGTAGTTAGCATGAATCTTCTGGATACGTTATGCTAAGAATGGATGTTAAAAATTAGAAACGTGTTGTTTAATTACTTTGAGGTAGCAAGCTTACTTAGTTTTATTGTGTAAGCAGGATTCTAAGCACTTTTTTGGCTAATAGACGAATCGGCCCATCCGAACATGCTAAGTTCTTAAGTTTTCGATATGAACGCACATCGATAGATATTTAAGTTTTTATATAAGTTAAGTTTAAGATTTATTATTGTACGAAATATATTGTCTTTCAAACAACATTAACCGATACTAATACAGAAAAAAGTTAATGAAATGCCTCTACCTAAAAATGCACACGAGAGAGAATAAATGCTGTTGTTGAAAAATAATGTAAGAATCATTCAAGTATCTTCTTATTTCTTTCTGAACATTACATCTGAACCATGTTGTTAAAACTATTGGATAGGTTTTTTTACGACCGACCGCCTGAATAACGTAAACCCTCCAAATGCGGAACAATCATCTGTGGCACTAACAATAACAACTTGTTTCAAGTAAACGCATATGAAATTATTGATTCTAGAGGCAAAAAGCAATTAATGTTTCGATTTCCCCAGAAAGCTACAGCACTGTCTGACATATTATTGAATTATTTATTCCAAACCTGTTGTACGTGCTTTTATAAACTTTTAGTTCAGTTCTTTTCGTTTTTGTAATGCTTTAAGACGCTCTTTTATAACGGTCACAATAAAGTCGCCTTTATTTACCTACGCCTATTACCCCACAGGTGTTTCTTAGATATTATCACAATTCACAAATCAGTCTTACGAATATCACATAAAATTTAAATCCCTATTCTCTTTAAATTATTTAAGTATAAAATGCGTATTTATTCAGATGTTATACATCTTTCTATATTTATTACACGTTAAGACTATTTAAGAGTGTATCGATTGTTGTTTACTGTATAAATAAATTGTTAATCAAATAGATTTCTAAAACTTCAAATGTATGTTTTCGTTCTATTGAGATCTCTTGGTGGATGATCAATTTGGTGCTTATGTTTCTTATTATTGTTTTCGTTTATAACATTTAATGTTCATTCGAAAGCTGTTTTTATTTTATATTTTTTGTTTTGTGTAATCGAGTCGGAATCTTTGAAAGCTGTGTGTGTAACCATTCCAAGTACGTGTAAAGAACTTTACAATCATGCGTTTTAAATTTAGTTGGAGGTGTGCAGTAGAATTCCTATTAGTTGTATCAGTGTGTTTTTGGTTTAGTTGTAGAGTTATGAACTCGCCGCGGCTTGTATAGTTGTACAAGAAATGCGATGTACGGTTTGGCCTTTTTCGAGTTAGGAATTATTAAAAGCAACCTATTTCCTATGGCTAATCTCATAATGTTTTCCTAAATACAAGTATTTGAACTCAAATAAACAATATGAACTACCTAGTTAGCAATATTTTCTATTACATTCCATTCCTTGTAACTGTTGATCGTACATCGCATATTGCGTCACGAACAGGTTGCGGCATTGCACAAAGTACGTAGTAGGCCGCAAGTGAGAATTTAGACTATACGCTGTCAGTATTTAAATAAAACAAATAAAAAAAAAGTTATTTTATTTACGCCTTATTTTATTGGTTACAAACTAAACGCTCTTCTCTCATGACTCACGAGAATAGCTGAACTAATGAAATAGAAGAGAGATCAAACTGGAGCATTTCATTTTAAATATATTATACACAAACACATGCGTCTTATTTACTTGGTTTCAATTTATTGATATCGACGTGGAACATTTTTTCAACGCTTTTGCTTGCTTTCGCGCGAACTTCAAGGTGGCAAACGAACTGGTGCAACACCTGATGTTATGATAAGCGGCGTCCATGTAATTCTGCAACACCCGTAAGGTTACAAACGCGTTGCCACCTAAAAAATGGGCCTGTTACCTCACGCAGACGAAACGCAGAAACGTAAGGCTTCCTCCACCCCTAAATGATATTGGATGAGATTCAATTGGTCGTGCCGAACCTCAGTAGGTAATAATTACCCTATTATTGCATTAGTAATTATTATTATTATATTTTTTATGTGAAAAGTTGCCAAGCGAGCAGGCGGTTCGCCTGATGTTAAGTGAATACCGCCCATGGACATCTGCTACACCCGAGGGTCGCAGGTGCGTTGACAACCTTTTGAAGATTGGGCTCCGGCTACCGTACCTCACTCACCAGACGAAACGCGAAAGTATTATACTTCCACTTTACGCCGGTCTTCCGTGAGGTCGTGGTACTTACCTGGACGAGCCTGCCCATTCGTGCAACAGCCGAGGCTGCTGCGTGGCCCTGCCTCAGTAGTTTATAAAAAAATTATGAACCTATTGATCTCATATATTTAGTTCAAACCTAGTAAAGAATAAACAATAATTTATTCCCTCGCCCAACTGCTAGGTGAGGATGAAGTTCTTTCTAATTTCTTAAATACAAAAACAAAGATGTACCTTACCTTATTTTAATATTGATAACAATTTAGTAAATCAATGTTAGCCGACACATTAATTTTCTGTTTTGAAACTTCTAACATCGACGTTTTCATGAAAGTAAATCTCTTCGCTTTCTAAGTTTAATCGCTAAGATTTTTATACAACTGTAGCCATTATCAAAACAAATGTTATATCCAAAATATTAGCAATTTTCCTTTGGGCCGAATTATGTCGATATGCATCGGCAACAGTATATTAGTTATTTTTCGGACGAATTATCATGTATAGTTTAGTTCTCTCTTCTCTTCTTTTTATTTGTATGCACGTAACATGCAATTGCAGAGTTGACTGGATCTTCGCGGGGCTAGACTGGGAACCGCGCCGCGAATAATCAAGGGCGACTTGCAAAGTATAAAATAGACCTGATTTCACATTTTACTTACGTAATAATAATTATTAAATGTTGCACTGTGGAAAAAAGGCACATTGTTTTTTTTTTTTACATAGTTTCAAAACATTCTAATTTGCTCTTAAATAGTATTTGGTTAGTTTCATCTTACAAATCAAAATTTTTCATTTATATTTAGACAATACGGTATCTGTTTTTGTGAAATATCAAGGATAAAGAACTTATTGACTAAAATTGAGTTTAATCGCATAAACAAATAAAACGAAATTTAATTTGCAATCAATTTATTTCCTTACTTACCTAAGAATTCAGCAATTCGCCCTCCTTCCTTGTCACTTATGTATAATAAGGAATGAAATGAAATATGTATAAAATTGGATTAATTAAAATTAAATAATAACTACTATGTCCTTTCACTTGTACTTTATGATATGATATATGTTTTCTTACGAGGCAATGAATGTAACATTCACCTAAAATTAAATAGTTATTTATGAAATAACAGAAGTGATATTTCTTTCATTTTAAAATTTCTTTGTTATTGTTTTCAAGCTAAAAGATATTTAGCGAAAAATAAAAAAGTAATAAAAAGAGTGATTATCGTTTTTAAAATATCCACCAAACTGTATGTTTTCTATCATATACCAAAATTCTCTAGGAATGTTCCAAATACTAAATCAAAAAATGTTAAAGCTAAACGCCTTAAGCACATACTCACCACGAAAGGACAGGGTTAGCTAAATAAAACGAAACATGGTCCGACACTGTGTCAAGATTTATTGCAAATCCATCATACACAGCGGTCGGCGGTTAACTTAGCCTAAGTTGGGGGAGTTTTCTATTTATCGTCATCCTTGAAGACCATAGTGCTGTGGCACTTGCCGCAGTAGTGACGGTCCTCCATGACGGCCATGAACACTCCGGCGCCGCACTGCTCGCCCGTGCACTCGCGCCTCAGACGGTGGATCTTGCCGTTCTCGTCCACCTGTGGGGCCCATACGAGCTCATGAAACTGCGGTAGCCACAACATGTCACAATACAGGTACACCGAAGGAAAGGTCTTGTGCAATTTCAAATTGAATTCTCATACTGTCCTTATTGCCATTGTGTGGGTTTTTTTTTTTTTTTTTTTTTTTGAAAACATTGCCATTACTTTAGGATAATATTATCCTGTGTTGTAATGACAAACGATTTACAAACATAAATTTCACGCAGACAAAAACCCAGATGCGAAACAACTATCTGTGGGTCACCCAAATAGTTGTCCCATGTGGGAATAGAACCCTGCGCCACGGAGTCATCACATATAATTAATTAATCACAATTATAATGTTTTATTCAAATACGAAGTCTTCATTTTGTGCTTTAAGTTAAAAAATACAAGACTGAAATCAATCCATTATAAATTAGGAATGTTACAATGAATTTTCGAATACGTTATTTGTCACATTTAGATGGAAAACCATAAAATGGTATCTTGTGACCAAAATTTAATTTGCAATATTTTATTAAGGAAATTGATACCAACAATTTCTATGAGGCAAAATTATGTTAATCTTACTGCTGCTCGTAAGGCAAGAGCTCACCTTGTAAAACCTGAGCACGGATAATTTGACCTTCTTCTTCTTGTGCTTGATCTTCTTGGGTGTGGAGTAATTCTTCTTCTTGCGTTTCTTGGCACCGCCCCTCAACCGAAGCACCAGATGGAGTGTAGACTCCTTCTGGATGTTGTAGTCTGACAATGTGCGGCCATCTTCCAGTTGCTTACCAGCGAAGATCAATCTAAAATATTTAATTAAATTTATTTTAAATAAAGTCCCATTATACAGCGTGTCGTTACCATCACGACAATAAATGAACACACGTCTAACGTTACTTACCCATAATCATAAAAAAATGAATGTTAACAAAATCCATAATTATTTTTTTTTTCAAACAAACTAATCAAGTAAAAAAGAAACAAAATTTGTAACATCCTATACAACGACAACTGATTGATTCATACATTCAGAGACTTTTTCATTCGTTGCCACAGAGTCGCATTACTAGCCTCTCCTACTAACAGTATGTTTTGTCTCTTTTAAATTCATTCAACCCATTCATATGCTTTGTGACCTTTACAAATGAACTTTACGTTACAGTTTTATATGTAAGGTTGTTCTAAAATTGTTTGTTTTGGAAAATTTAATAACTCGGTAAATATTAATGTTTAAAGAATGTAAATGTTTAATACATTTTAAAGTTATGCTTTACAAGTGTGTTCATTTATTGTCACGATTGTAAAGACACGCTGTATAACATTTGTTCCATAGCATTTTAATATTGTGACAAAATTACCTCTGCTGGTCAGGAGGGATTCCCTCCTTATCTTGGATTTTGGCTTTCACATTTTCGATGGTGTCCGAGGGTTCAACCTCGAGGGTGATGGTCTTCCCCGTGAGGGTTTTCACGAAAATTTGCATCTTGGCTCCTAGAAAATAATCAAACTGAGTACTACAACAATATTGGGCATTAGTAATATTTAAGACCTATTTACACCTTTTGTTTTATATTTCATTCAAGATTATTATAAATCAGTAAATAATAACTGCCAGAATAGAGACTACAAATCTGTCGGTTGCCATGCTTTTAACAATTTAATAACCACATACCATTGTAACAATATGAAATATAAATTTATAATTCATAAGATTAGTTAAACTTAAGAAATGTATGTAACAACCATTTTAATTGTTTAATGTCCACAGGCATGTTTTGAAAGACAACAAACAATCATGTTAATATTCAATATATTTTTGTAACTGTAAAACTAGTTATTCACTATCAGTTTTAAAAAAATCCATGACAATGGGAAGTAAAACAAAGTACAAATTTGTATTAATTATTTGTGAGAAATTTTCAATACACAAAAGTATTGTAATAAAGACAGACAAAGTCACTCAAAGACTGTTGAGTCACTTGGCCAGTCAATCGAACCTATATAAAATGAATAGCTAGAAATAAAACAAAATCATTATCATAATTATATTCTTTATTACAGCCAAATGAACATGTAATGTTAGACAAGGAGTATTGCATTGATGACACCATCATTCTCTGGGTTGTTGGTAACTTGAGCATACTTGCCCCACACAACTTTACCGGCCTGTGTGACAAGACCAAGCTCTGAAATGTTGACTTCAATTACTGTTCCCTTTGTTATAACTCCCAGACTTGTGTACATTTGCGAGCTGGGATTCTTCTTGACACCAATTATGGGTAGGCAGAATGTTGCCTTGAGTTCAGGGTGGGTAACATGTGCTTTCTTAAACCTCAGTGCCATTGGCCTTATAAAGCGTTCAAACTTAGGCGGTTTCCGTGTGAAGTTTTCTCCAACAAACGTCACTTTCGTCACCATGCGTTTCCATGCTTTCCTCTTCGATTTGCCGGACTTTAGCACTTTGAATACTTCGGCGTCAGCTTGTGCTCTCACTTTCGGTATCGGTACATCCCATTTTCCAGCCTTTTCTTTTCGCTTCTGTTTGATCATATTAGACAATACCTTGGCACGGGATTGGACATCTCTGTCAAGAAGATAGACCGGCAGAGCACCCTCAGAGACCTTCTCGGTGTTTTGTTTAACATTTCTCTCCTCGTGTGCTTTGATCTTCTTTTTCATTTGGATCTTTTCATTGCGCCGCTCCTTGTTGTAGATCTTAGCTTTGATACCTCTCAATTTGCGCGCTTTCTCAGCCCTCTTATGCGGCTCACGGGCCTCCTTCTTTCTTTTCCTCTCTTCATAATCGAGTCGTCTACCGTAAAGTTTTTTATGGCGTTCAATGTATTCGTTCTGCGGCATTGTTGTTGCTTTAACGGCAACTACAACAAAATTTGTCTGCTTATCAAATAGCTTCAATTGAAATACTTCCACCAAACGCAAAGAGGCATAATTATAACCTTTCGATGACACAGGTAACACAATTCACGTTTTGATTTTCATTTATTTCCGAAACCTCATAAACTTCACGAACTCGTTTAAGTTAAATAAGGTGAATTAAAATCGAATAATACTTATCGAAATAACCACCTTCAAACGTCGCAAGCATCCACGTGCAAAATTTTGTACAACGAGATTTAAGAGAACTCAAGAAAAAATAACTAGTAATTACTTACGTCTATGCTTTTCTCATTTAGTTTTCTAATAATTTTTAAGAAACTTCGTAAATTAAGAAATATACAAAATGTTATTAACCGAGAATGACAAACTCACCTTATGCCGACACCATGCCACAAGGAAAAGGAAGTTTAACATAGACAATTAAAAGCTTCATAGAAAATAATGCTTTAAACAGATAAGAAAATGTTATTTTTAATGCATCGTTAACATCGTGTGAATCAAAAATTAGCCAAAAAAAAAATTCGAAATATTAAATGGTTTAGTTGATCGTATTACTTCAGAGAACCGTGAAAGCTCAGTGTCCGGGCGCTCGCCTTTAATTAAATATACTCGAGCACCCCGAGTTCGATACCCGGTGCCGACATCAATGAAGATTTTAATTTCAAGTGCTGACTTATTACGTGCTCAGCGGTGAATGAAAACATCGTGAGGAAACCTGCATGTTTTCGAAACAACAACAAAAAAATATTTCGAAGATATGTGAAGTCCGCCAATCAGCAGTGGGGCCGCGTGGTGGACTATGCCCTGATACCCTCTGTACAGAGGAGGCCTTTGCCCAGCAGTGGGACATGTACAGGCTGTTACTAGCTAGCCAGAACCCACAGGTTTGGGCCCTCCGCTGTGGATAGGGCCACGCATGTGCTCATGCGTGCGTTTAACTATGGTGTGTCATCTGAGGGCCATCGAGGTCGTGGTTCGGACCGAAACCCCGATGGCCGTCGACTGTGCAATTAGCTAATCGGTGGCTGGGGGCGGTGAGAACCGCCCCGGAACGCGGGTGTACCTTGTGTACGCATTGTGTTGGTCTCGCCGTGCTCGGAGGCGAGGGCGAACTAGTGTGTTTGTTGTTGCACTAACTGTGGGTGTAGTGTTGTCCGGCGGGACCCCCCGGCAGTGGGTCCGGCGTGTCTAAGTCCCCTTCCTCGACCGGGTCGATTAAGACGTTTCGCGGGCGACGCTTGTTGACGTTCGCGTTTTTGTCGGGTTGGTAATTTGCTGCGCTTACCACCAGAGGGTTGGGATGATGTTCGGCTCTATCGAAGAACCGTTTGGTCAGGTCTTTAAAATATTCGCGAATCGTCGGGAGTCTGCAATCGCTGTGCAGGTCGACGTTGCGTTGATACCACTGCGCACCGGTTGCGCGGCGGATGAACTTTTTTGTACTATTTGCAATTTGTACAAGCGAGTAGGGTGCGTGTGGGCGAAGGTCATGCATGCGTAAGACATAATAGGTCGTAGCCGGGTGGCCGGTGGTATGACAATTAACGCAGTCCGGTGGATCTGCGCAATCTTTTGGCCGCGTACAATCGGGCGTGCCGTGGTCACCGGTGCATTTGACGCACCTAGGGTGAGCGAAACAATTATTAGCCGTGTGGCCATAGTGTTGGCAGTTGTGGCACTGCGCCACAACTCCCGATCTTCGCGGGGGCTCGATCACGAGGTCGCTGAGCCCACAGACCCTCTTCAGGTTGAAGATGGCCTTACCTTCCGGGGTAGGGTCAAGTTCAACCATCACCATGTCCATAGGGACACGGGTTCTGGGGTGTCTGAGGCGTCGGACGGCATGCACAGGGTATCCCTGAGTGCGGATGTCGGTTTTCGCCTTGTCGACATCCGACTCTTTGGGGACGCCCTTGATAACTACCCGAAGTTTGCGTTCTTCGGGCAAAGAGTAGGTGTGAAAACCTATCTTATTTTCGCGTAAGTATTTCGTTACGCGGCGGAAATCGTCCGTTGTGTCAAGGTATACGCGGATACCCATTTGTGTATTTTTCGACCGGGGGTCGCGGATATTGTGGCGTTCAAACCACGAAGAAATTTGGTGCCACTTAGCCTTCTCCTGAATGATGATGGGTGGAGGAGGCTTTATTTTTCGCTCGGAGGCGAATTCGGGCATCGGTTTAGCCGCCGCAGCCGCCTTTTTGGCGGGCGTCGCGGTGGGGTGGGTTAGTTGAAGCGGCCTCGCATTCGGGGTCGCTGTCGGCAGCGGGGCGTTTTTTTTTTGCCCTTCTTACGCGACTTTACGACGGTGAAGCCGTCGACGTTCGCGTTTTCAGCGGGGGTCGTTTCGACCTCCATGTCCGATCCGCCGTCCGATTGTGAGTCGGGAACGACGGCGCGGAAGGGGGCCGAGATGGGATGCGCGGAAGGCGCGATTGGTACGATCGCGGCGGCGGAGGTCGACGCGACGGGCTTTTCTTGTGTCGCTGAAGGCGACGCATTAACGGGCGCTGAGAGCGCCGGAGATGACGGCGAGGCGACTGCCGGTGAAGCCGGGCTGTCGCTGGCGAACTCGACGAATAAACATTTTTCTTTCGCGAACGCGAGAAAGTTTGCCCACACTTCGGGACATCGTTGGCGAAGGAATTCCTCTAGGAGGGAACCCATTCCGAGCGCTTGAGCCTTTGGGGCTTGCGCCCCGCCGGCGTGTAAGTTACTAAATAGGCCTCCCCATCTTGCGGCAGGGAGGTGTCTGCCTAAAACTAACAACTAATCCGCCTGCGCTTTAGGTGCGCTAGGGTGGGTACCTAGCTGTCGCCTATCGCAACAAGCACACAGTTATTAAATAAAAACAATGCCGCCTCTGAGCGAGAAGTGTGTATAGAATTCTACTTACAGAACAGGAACCTGCCTACGAGCACAACACTAACACTAAACTACTGCACTGCTTGCACAAAGATTTAAATTGCAACCGAAGTTGCGAGTAGCATCTAATTCGGGTGGCATTAGCCCTCCGTCTTAGAGAGAGTTCCGTTCCGTACGAGAGCACGAAGCGGAATCATTACCTTAAGCAATTTTTAGGTTAGATGGGAAACGGAGATCTCTGTAATTGTTTAGCGACAGTTATTCAAGCTTATTTTTGTGGCGACTCATTTGCTACTGTGTAGCACCGCTCTTATCTTTTACACCCTTACTCTCATCGGTCTAGCATTACCCTATTATTGACAAATTTCTATAGCAACGAGTGACAATAAAAGATTATGTTTTTCTCAACACGGCTTGTTCTTTGTACTGCATCTTAATAATTCCCTCCTGCCGGCTCCCAAACTGGTGACCCCAACGTGATGTGATAAATATGCGCAACATCGGAGCCCACGTCGCTACGCTCTGCAGTTTCGCTCGAAAACAATAATTTCCGCGATAATCGAGGTTTGTTCCATTCTGCGACGCCGCCTAGGTACGCTTCCTTCTTTTTGTTTTTCCCTCCGTGCAGAGAAGTCTGCTAGGGAGACTAGAAAAGCCACCTGCGAGTGAGACTATGGTATAGCCTGCGAGGGAGATTGTACAGAACAGCCATGAAGCTATAATCGCAACAACTGTAAACGCATCTACGATAATCTACATCGCTATTGGACTCGTATTTTGTCCATTCTATGTAGCGCTGAGCCGGCATTTTTCGCATCGAGGCCGGCCATTTTTCTTTCTCTACCGGAGCTACGTCATCTTTGACGAGGAGGAAGTTGAAAAGCGCGCCACGCGCGGCAATCACCCGCAACATTGTGTCAGGTGACTAACAGCTCTCCACTGATATTTCGCGACGGATGCTGCGTTTACACTCGTTCAAGTGAAAGTTTAGGGCTATTTTACACTTAAGATAGTATCATTTTATGTTGTATTTAGACTTACTTACTTTTCTACCAATTTTATTATTACGTTTGCTGCGCAACACTGAAATTGTTTCGTTTGTGTATTTACCGATTTGTTCCACTGCGTGTATGTGTAAAGCGTTTTTTGCGATTTGACCGTTTCTGATTTTACCTTTAAACCATGGCGAGTCAAGGAGAATCTAACGTTTCAGAGGGCCACGTTGGCAACGAGGGTGATGCTACTGCACTAGTCGGTGGCAGTCCCATTTACGTAAACAGGGTCGCAATTAGGACCCCCGCTTTTTAGCAAGGATCGGCCCGCATTGTGGTTTGCTAGCCTAGAGGCGCAGTTCCACATTAACCAAATTACCGTCGAAATGACGAAGTTTCATTTCGCCGTGGCGCATTTAGATACCGAGTGTACGAAGGAGGTCGAAGATATTATCACACATCCTCCCGAGTTGCAACCATACACAACTTTAAAAAGCGCAATCATATCTAGATTCTCCGATTCCTTCGAGGAGAAGGTGCGGCGCTTACTAGAAAAGGAACAGTTAGGTGACCGCAAGCCATCTTCGTTCATGCGACACTTGAAGAGTCTGGCTGGGCAATCGTTCCCCGCTGACTTGCTGCGATCAATTTGGGCCAATCGGCTTCCCCGGCAGGTTCAAATTGTGTTGGCCGCACAGAAGATCCAGGACTTGACGGAGTTGGCGGAGATGGCCGACCAGTTTGGTGGAGTTGACCGAGAGGCCTACCACCGTGAGCCAGGTCGGCGCATAATACCTTTGAGCCCACTCTCGCGTCAATGCAGCGGCAGATCGAGGAATTGACGCGAACAGTCTCAGCGCTCAGAACAAACACCCATGAACGATCTGGGAGCTCACGCGTTAATCAAAAGCTGAGCCGCTCTCGATCGCGCTCACGCCCACGTAATCAGAAGCTTTGCTGGTACCACGATCGTTTCGGCAACAAAGCAAGCAAATGCATACCAGGATGGAGCTGGACCATTGAAGGAGCTACTGACCGCGCACAGTCCAGCAAACGCCTTTTTATTACCGATCAAAATACCAAAATAAATTTTTTGATAGATACCGGTTCGGACATTTGTTGTTTTCCACGAAAACTTATAAAAGGACGTTTCTCAAATACAGGACTTATTCTCAATGCGGCAAATGGCAACTCCATTAAAACTTACGGCACAGTTAATCTGAACCTCAATTTAGGACTGCGCCGTGAATTTCGCTGGGAGTTTATTTGTGCTGACGTGGATGTCCCAATTATCGGTTCGGATTTCCTAGCTTTCTTCCACCTCCTACCCGACTGCCGTAGCGGCACACTGCGCGATGAGCTTACAAACTTATCCGCATATTGTTGTAACCGCAATATAATGCAGCCAAGTATTAGGACCGTAAAAAAACCGTCTCGCGATTCCCTGTTCAATCAATTGTTTTTAGACTTTCCGGAAGTGACGCGCCCACCTACAGCTGACCGTCAAATAAAACACAGCACTGTTCACTATATAACGACAACTAGTGGGCCGCCTGTCACGTCGCGTCCTCGTCGACTAGCACCCAACAAGCTAAAAATGGCTGAGAAGGAATTTAATGACATGGTGTCGGCGGGTACTGCTCGCCCATCTAAAAGCCCCTGGTCGTCACCACTGCATTTAGCACCCAAAAAGGATGGCATGTGGCGTCCTTGCGGTGACTACAGGCTCTTAAACGCTCGGACAGTTCTCGATCGGTACCCTGTGCGTCATATAGGACACTTCAGTCATAATCTGGCTGGTTCTACTATATTTAGCACATCTAGTAAAGGCCTACCAGCAGATTCCGGTAGCTGGTCCAGATGTTTGCAAAACAGCCATAATAACGCCATTTGGTCTTTTCGAGTTTCCCTATATGTCATTTGGGTTACGCAACGCTGGCCAAACCTTCCAGCGTTTCATCGATGAGATCTTGCGCGGACTAGACTTCGCTTTTCCCTACATTGACGATATTTTGGTATTCTCACGGGATGCTGAAGAGCACGCCAAACACCTGCGCATAATCCTGCAAAGACTGGTGGACTATGGCGTCGTTGTCAATGGGATAAGTACGTATGGGGACATGTGAGGTAATCTTCCTAGGTTATAAGATAACCAAGGATGATATCTGCCCACCTGAAGAGAAGATCGCTGCTCTCCGCGAGTTATCGCTTCCCAAAAACAGCTCAAGGTTTGAGACGCTTCCTGGGGATGGTAAATTATTACCGCCAATTTCTTCCCCAAAGCCGCCAAGCTAAATTTAGGTGCAAAATCTGCCCTAATGGCAAAATCTGCCCAAATAGCCCACTAACTCTCTTTGTCCTACGCTGCGCTTACCATTTAATTTTTATTTTAAGCATAATAAACATAATTTAATTTACTACTACTGTTTTATAAAATATTAATAATGTTTTTTACCAAAATTTAAAAATAAACTATTATTATCGAAGACAAAAATGTTTCAATATGAATAATTTACGCCGATGACATCTAGATACTTTTTTTATTTTTATACTTAGATAATTCAACTTTTTACATGTTTTTATTTAGAATATTCAATTGTACTAAAATTAGTGAAATATTTTTCGGTAAAACTTAATAAACAAAACTATTATTTAAATAAATATATTTATAAATTTCAAATTTGTCTATTCCTTGCTTAAAAACCATTCATTTCGTTCACTACTTCACATGCTAATATCGATGGACGCCTTCATGTCATTGGTCAAGTTGATATTTACGAGAGCTGTAATTGGTCAATGCTGAACGTTCCACCAAGATATGGTTTCATTAATGTTTAAAAAATTCCACAAACGAGTCGAAACGAGTTGAACGAAAAGACGAAAACCTTCATCCGAAAATCTCAAACAAACCAGGCTCTTACAACATTTAGCCACGGTTAACATCCATTTCATATGAAATATGAATACAACTGCTTCGTTTTCATCAGGTATGTACTATTAAATAGTAAATGTTTATTACACATTTCTGTAACAAAATGGTGTGAATAATACAAGGTCGTGATAAGCATATATCCAGAGTTTTTAGATATAGTAATGTGTACGTTTGTTTTTAAGAATCAAGGCTAAGTAGTAAAATACGTCGCTAAACCGCTAAACCATAAGGTGTATGTATACCGGATGCCATTGTATAGTCGCGAAATTGTCGCTTCGTAACAAATCTTGTATAATCAACAATTGATACACACTGATAAGCGATAGCTATTAATAAAAGATTTATTTAATAATTAATTAATCAATTAAAATAAATTAATTTAAACTATGTATTTTTAGCTTACGTTAAATAACAATAGTATGAACATATTATGGCGGTTTAGCGCTTCTATTACAGTTAGGAAACGGAAAAAAGCAGGTTATTAAAGTTCAAAAACACAATAAATCAAATATTTTTAGTTTAAAAAGCAACAAAGTAGGCATATTAGGTGCTTTAGTATTCCTAGGCCTTAAATAGACTTACTAAGGAAAAATTAAGAATGTTCACAGTGGTAAAAAAATACTTTCAAGTATGGCAAAAGAATTTATACCACTATATTACTTAGATTCAGGAGTTTTTATAATGAAGCTGTAGTAGATTGTTAAATTAAGCCATTTTAGTAATTTGATAAATTTTCAATGTTATTGTAAAAGCCAACATAGCTCATTGTGTGAGAGCTATGTTTTAATCCAACATACTTAAGCAACCTGAGTTCAATTCCCCATGCATGGCACCAATGATATTGTTAATTTTAATTGCTGACTTATCACATGCTCAGCGATGAGGAAAACATTGTGAGCAACCTAAATACTTACGAGTATCACAAAAAAATTCAAAGATATGTCAAGTATGCTAGTCCACAGACTGCTGCCGATAAACTGCATCATAGTTTGGCAGAGAATAATTTATGTTATTGTACTTTATTACTGGATTGAATAAATAAAAAATATTGCATGGTGAACTACTGTAATACCCTCTGTACAGAATAGACCTTTGCAGCAGTGGGACATGTATAGCATGTTACTTTACTATTTATTATTTTATACTTGCTATAATAGTATTTATAATGCATTAGAACAATGGTCAGGAGACAGGCTGCATCTTTCCAGTGGCCATGAATTCTGTAAGTTTTTCTAAATGTACATAGAATAGTGGTGGTTATAATGATATGTAAGATTTTCTTAAATAAAAAATAAATGTAACCAATGGATGATTTATCTGATTTTTAAATGTAACTTTCAGAACATTCATGGAGCAGACGTTGTTCTACAGAAACAGTGTTCAGCATACAAGGGAAAGAAACAGGTAAAAAGTTATTCTCTTTTTCAAATAAAAAAACTTATATACCAAGTGTATTTATTTATTTAAGTCACATATTATATTTACTTTTTAATGATACTTCTTTAGTATTGTATGATATGTAATTTGTTCCTAAAAAGTAACTACATTTTATGACATAAATGTTTATGAAATATTTTGTATTTTTTATTGTTTATATAAGTAATAATAAACTAGATCTCATATACTCTGTATATTTTTTGTACAACTATTAATATAGGGTTTACAGTGTTTTGAAAATATTTTGATAGTTATACTTTTTTTTCCAATTAAATGTCTCTACTATGCAAGTAGATACTGAATGCAAATAATTGTTTATTTTTTGATTTGTCATATTGTTAGGGATGGTAAAAGCGTAATGATTGTACAAAAATATGTATCGTTTGAGAGCGAAGAAATACCGAGTAATAAGAAAAGTTTTCGAGTCTCGCAAAAACTCGCATGCATGGCGCCTTTAGCGGCAATAGATTTGCGACACGCAGTGAGCTGTTGCCTTGTTAGTTCATGTCATTCGATGCAATGACTCACGGTCACGACGCTGCAAGACTTGCACCAACCTGTCGTGACTGTTGTAAAACATACTTGGTTTTCCGCTCGTGTTTCCTGTTAATTTTGTACGCGCCGCCATTATTGCTCAACGATAATAATATCGTTTTTGACGCAACGAAAAAAAGGCACACGTCGCGTATGATGAAACCAGATTGTTTTCTTTTGAATTATTTTCTAAATTAGCGTTGTTCATGTGTTTTTTATGGTTCAAAATATCCATAAAATATTTTATAGATAAAATAACAACTAAATTACACTTTATTGAAATTACTAATTATCATATTAATAATTATAATATTTTATTAATTTCTATTTCAAGAATTCCTGCATGTCCTAAATATATGCACAAAAAGAAGTAAATTACTTCAACTTTGGTTTCACAAAAATTCACAATTTACCATTTTACGTCTAGTTTATCTATTCTAGATTTAATTTCAATTGCTGGGAAAAAACAAATACCAATTTGTTATTTGTACCATCCCTATTGTAATTGAGTGCCTATCCATTTCAATTTTGAATTGGAAATATTTTTTTTTATCAATTTTCCCAATGATCAAAATGATCATGTTGAATCCAAGATAATAAATTTTTACTTACATCTTATGCATGTTGATTTATTAATTTTGTTTTTTTTTCCTTGTAATTGTCGAAATTTGCATGGCAGTTAACAGTATTTAAGATAATGTGCATGCTTTTTTAAATTTTCAATATTAACGCATAATAATATTGTCAGATTTTTTCATCATCATTGTGTGTCATCGGAGCAGCCAAGGTGAGGGTTGTAAAGCACGGAACGTGAAGAATTCAGACTGGCACTTGATTCATCATCCATCAATTTAACTCATGGTGTTAGCACCGTTGATTTAATAGTGATTGTACAAGAAATTGTGTCATCATAGACCAAATAGTTTTTTTTATATGAGGCTGATGTTTGATGTTAATTATGATAGCTTGTTATGCCATTTATTTACATTATTTCTTACCTAATTTACCATAAGATTATTTGTACCCATGTCCTAATTTAATATACCTCAGTGCAATGTCATGAAACTTGTTAGATTGCTTTATTTTTAAGGAATGGTGTGTATAATGGCATTTGAGCTGAATATTAATTTTTGTACACTGCATTATATATAATCTTGTTAATATAACTTTTTAAGTTTCAACCAAAGCATGTCATTTCATGTCATTTCATAGTAACATTATTCTGATTATGAAAATATAAACTGTATATAATGCAGTTAGTGTGATAACTTGTTATTTATTTGACCTTAGTCAGAATAACATATTTCTTTATCTGTCTTTGATTTGATTATTGATAAATTTTTAATTTGTTATTTTAATTTTTAATATAAATTCTGTAAGTTGATATTAGTAGTAAGTATTTTTTGTTCCTGTGTATGTCTTTCCGTATGTTTGTCGGTATACAGTTTAACAATGATTTTGCATGTCATTTGACCTGTGTTGCTTTGTATGGTGTTTGTATTGATTACTTGAAAAAATAATCTTAAAAAATTGAGAGATAAAAAGAAAGACAATATTTATTCAGTTACAAAAAAAAGTATATCAGGCCACAAAAAAATAAATCAGAGACAAAAAAGGAAAAAAAAGCAAGGCAGAGACTAAAAGAGGATAAAACAATGACATCGAAAGTGGTGAACGAATTTAAAAAAAGAAAAAAAGTAAAGAATGAATGACACTAAAAAAAATAAAAAAAAAGAACAACCTACACACGAGTCGTGGCTCAGACTGCGGGCGAGTCAACGGCGCCGGCGTTAACGGTCAATTGCTATCTAAGCGAAACCGGTCGGCACATTGGTTGAATGTCGTGGTATTTGTAGATATCGTTCGCGACACGAGCGACACGTCGTCCCTATGGAGCGACGATGAGCACGACGCAGAGTACGAGCCTGTCACGGAGTCGGAGGATGCGGCGCCGGTCCCGTGCGACTCTTCGGGCGGAAGTGACGTGAGTCCCACACGCAGTGTTGCCAACCATTAAAAAGAAATGGCCCTAAAATCAAGATGTAATAGCCCTAAATAACCATAAATGCAATTTTTAAAAGTCCCAAAAAAGCCCCGTATTGAATTTCGAGATATTGTTTAAACGAGTTTTACGTTTTGTTAACGTAAATGTATAATATAACCTAGTTTTAATTGCTTTTCATTACGAATAGTTGAAATTATTACCAAAACGACAAAGTATTAACAAAGTGGCCGAACCAAGTTTTAACAAAGGTGGCACATGATACGGGAAAAAATAGCAGTCTATAGAATTGCTATCTAATTACACAAATTGGCGTAATGCGAGTGCCTCAGTTTCGGTGCGCGTCATAACTACGTCATAATTGTATATAATATCAATATGGCCTCAACATATGCTAATATCACTCGCCCATGGCATTATGTTAAAAAAATAGATATAGAATGCCATCTTTCAAGCTTTTTGAGTTTCTGCAACTTGTGTATCATGTAAAGAATAGATATGAGGAAAATGAGCCGTACTGTTTTAAAGGTTTGTAATTAAGTTACAATTTCAGAACGAAATAACAGCTACGAAGGTAGGGCCAAACTGTTTTAAAGCTTCGCCGTTTCCGTTTCAGAACGAGATAATAGCTACGAAGGTAATCGAGGTGAAGATAAGGGACGACGGGGACCTGGTGTTCGCAGACTCTGAGCAGACCGAGTCGAACGGCAGCGACAGCGAGATAGACCTGCACGACTACTGGTACTGCGCGCAGTGCCTCGCCGCCAACAACAACCCGCTCTACCGCTACTGCGAGAAGTGCTTCAAGGTACTCGCCACGTGCCACCGCTGTTCCCTTCTAACGAGCGGTTGCCATGACGACCGGAAACGTTGTTATTAAAAGCTTTGGGATTAGATTAATTATTTCTCTCTGTTGCTACTTACGAACTAGAGAGACTAAATCTGTCGTCGTCCATTTCCAGGTGCGCAAGAACTTCTTCCCGCCGAGGCCGAAGCGGAAGCCGAAGCGGGCGTCCCCTGAGCCGGTGGCGGAGCCCTCGGCGATCACAGGTTCCGAAGACGCCCCGGCGCGCCTCTCGCAGGACTCCGCCTACGAGTCGCTCGCCTCCAACTGCCAGTCGAGCCAGGAGCTGGGGCCTCTGCCGACATCGTCCGCTCCCGCCCCCGCCCCCGCCCCCGCCTCCCCTCCCGCGCCCGCCTCGCGCAAGCGGCGCGCGGACTCCGCCGACCGCAACAACAAGCGCATCAGGGCCGACCGCTCGGAGTCGGACAGCGGCCCGGAGCCGGCCGAGGGGCTCGTGCGGCCCCTGGTGAAAATGGTCAGCGACCCCCTGCTGACGGTGGCCGAGCCCCCGGCGCCAGTCGGCGGCGGGCGGCGGCCGGACGAGGACGCGTGCATAGTGTGCCTCTCGCGGCCCAAGTCGGGCGTGTTCGTGCACGGCCGGATCGCGCACATCTGCTGCTGCTACGACTGCGCGCTGAGGGTGTGGGCGAGGGCGAAGCGCTGCCCCGTCTGCAACTGCAAGGTGAGCAACGTGCTCCGCGCGGTGGTTATGTAGCACCGCCGCTATGGGGGAACGTTCTGTTCCGCCTTGGTGTTCCGTAAACATGCAACGGCTCTCTTCTACGGCCAATAGAATCAATAGTCATTTCGGCTCAATTTTTCAATCCGTATTATGGCCGTTTAAAAAGTACGTAACATACTTTTCATCCGATCTCTATGGTAATTCCTAAAGTAGAGTCACAGCGCCCGACAATGGTCAATCGGCAACATCCCCATACAGCCTTAGTATATTTCCCGAATTCATGACAAGTCGATGTTACTCACACCGAGTATGTAGGTAGAAGGAAGCAACGATTTAAATATGTAGGGCGATGACCGTTTTTCGTCTTGCTTTTGAGGTAGACATTGTAGTCGTAGACAACAGCGAGTATATGTACATAACCACACGTAACGGTTTGATGATCTCCAGCAGGTGCAACATTCGCGTGAAGGTTTCTTATTCATTAAAAACCACTCGGTGAAGTGGAATGTTCATAGTATTGCGTTTCGTCCAATAAGAGTTGCCAGTAATAGTACGGACATCCTTTTTCATAGATATTTATCAATAGGGGAATATGTTTCTGACAGGTTGCCAATAACTTTAATTATTTTACTTCAAGCACTTTAAAATATTATCATTAAATTTTTTCTAAACACTACTACACATGTTATCAAAATTGATTATAATTAATTTCAAAAATCTGTACAGAACTTAAAAAGTTTAGATTGCTATTTTTTCATTTGGCCACAACCTCTTGGCAACTGGCTGTAAGCCAGTATTATTCTGTTAAATTCAGTCATTAAATCCCTACCATAGCTTGCGTCACCATGTACAGAAAAACTTATTTGGCACTTTATTGACTCCGTGGTGCAGTTGCCAAGGTATCGGCTTCGGCTTCGGCGTCGGGGGTCGTGGGTTTGATTCTCACACGGAACAAGTATTTGTGTGACCCACAGATAGTGGTTTCTCATCTGGTTGTTTGAAATTTATGTTTGTATAAAACTTCCTTACAACACAGGATAAAACAAAATTCTCCTAAAGAGCAACACTCAAAAAAACTAATAACCCGGCAGAAACGAATTCCCCTATTTATAATTATCTATGAAATTTGAATTTTGATTAAAAGTCCGAAGGATGTTGAACTCACGCCGATGGATTTTAGACTCAAATCGTAGGCACCTTTTATATCAAATTGAAGGCAACTCGCCCGAGTTACAACTGGTATTGCCATTTCCATGAGCACTGTTTCACCTGGTGGTCACTTAACATCATGTGAAACACTTCCCCCTTTTATATAATAAATAGGCGTATCGTGTAGGTATCACACGGTATATGTTCAAATTGTGTAAAGTTAATTCTTAGGAGCGTATAATCCGTTTTAGGATTAATAGCATTGTATGAATCGTTCATTAGAATTTGAATTTCGGATCGGGAAGAAAGTTTTTCTTTTTTAGTTTCTCGACAATCACAAATTGATTCTTTTCCCTGGGTTAGTTTTTTTTTTCTTAAACATTATATGCTCCGATGAGTAAACCGGACTTCGTTCTTAAATCGTATTCTTTATCTTTATTTTCTGAGAAGATTCTTGTCTTGTAGTATGTAATACAATATCCGGAATTATCTTCACTTGACCTCATGTACGTATTTTGCGATGAAAGTTGTCGAACTACAAACAGAGTGTGTTTAAAATTTCGGGTAGTCAGAATTATGAAAAAATCTCGTAACCCCTTTAAAATCATACTATTTAAATATTATTGTTTTAACAACCATGAAGTGTCAAAAACATGAAAAAATGTCGTATGATGTTTTCTGTAACGCTATCCGAATAATTTACTTTAAACTTACCAAATTACTATGAAAACCCCTTAGTTAGTATCGTGGTAATTATCAAGTGTGGACACTATTAAATTTGAACTGCAAATCTATAAACATAATTTAAGGTTGAAAAATATTGATTTGAATATTTACTTTTTGCGCCAAAAATAAAAAAATAAAACATTTATTTAGGTTAATTAATAAATGAAGAGGCAAAATTTTGGCGTTACAATTTAACGCAATGTGACGATGTGCAGAGGTAATTTGTGTTAAAATACGCGTTTTCCACCGAAAAGAGATGAAATAATATATATTGTTTTAATTTTATAGTTAGGTTAAGAATTCTGTAAAAATCACTATAGGAAACCATATTTAGTTAGGTAGAATTAAACAAATTTTCCGCAGAGTTTTATCGTTTGAATGGAGATATGTTGAACGAAGTTAATTGAAGAGCACGCGTTAAGTTTAAGTTTAGGATTAATGACCAGGGGTTTTATAACTTCCATTAGTATAATTATAAATCCATACGCTTAATTCATACAAAACAGATGTACTATTGCATTTTTATGCCTACAAACTGTTCATATGTCAGCAAACGGTATTATATAACAATACACTAAAATGCGGCTTCTCTTAATTTGGTGCAGTTATTGTGCAATATAATAAAAATATTTTTGAAAGTTAGAATATATTTTTGACATCTTAGTATTGGCGCCAATTTGCATTTTTTTTAATTTGCTGACAATAACAAGTGAAATTGTAGGAATTATTCCTGGTCATGAAAACATTCATAAATATATATTTATTTAAAGCGCTCTGGAGAATTTAAGTTATTACTTACTTATTAACTTTTTCCTACTAAAATCAAGCCCACCATCTTTTCCTACCGTGTAGAAGTTCTATCATTTGTTTTCTTGTTGAAAGTTATATTATTTTTTATATTTCCAAACAATACATTTTATGTTAAAATACACTATATTATCAAAGTGTAACGCTTAAATAGGTTTAGGAACATTCACCAATCTATGTGCCTTCTATTACTCATTATTTTCATTATGACTCACTCAAACCGCACATTTGTAATTGTTTCCATGTATTTAAAAAAAAAAGAAAAAATAATAAAACAAATCGAAAAAGAAAAATCGATTTATCTAAGAAATTAAAAATTAAAAAAAAAGATATTAATAATAAATTTTTTCTTTTCAGGAAAACATGATTTTTATTTTCCCTTCTATCCCAATACAACTCACTATTTTCGCGATGTTTGACAGAGAATGATGGACTACATGCAAAATTTTCGCAGACACGAACCTTTTAATCTTCTCACGCCTATTTAGTTTTTTCAGTTTAACTTAATAAATTCTTAAAAATCAAAAAGGGTCTAAAGAAAAAAGGCGCGGATCTACGTGTACAGTACATTACGTGTCTCTACAGTTAAATATCAATCAATGCCTAAAATTAAGTTTATACGCAAAAAATTATAACTAGATTTTCTAGAATAAATGTTGCGATTAATAAGCGTTCTGCGTGAAACGGTCTGCAGTCTTTCTAAACAAATCTTATTGAATCCTTTTAGATTTTTGTATTAAAATGTAATAAAATCAGAAAGATATGACCATGTTTTTGAGGGAAAGACAGCAAGGAAAAGCGGGCAGGCTCTTCCAATGAATAATCACGGATAGTCTGCGTAAAATGGAAGTGATTAACTTACACTTCTGAGCTTTGCCACACCTGATGGTAAGCGATTACCGACGCCCATGAACACCCGAGGGCTTACAAATGCGTTGCCGGCATTTAAGGAACGAGTATGCTCTCTTGAAGGTTTCTAGGTCGGTAAGACCGTCGGCGGCAGCTGGTTCCACAGAGTGGTTGTGCGATGCAGGAAATGTCTTGAAAATCGCGCAGTTGTGGGACTGAACATCGAGGTGGTAATTCGTCTGATGCTCTGATGAATAAAGTAGGGGGGGGGGGGGGGGGAGCACATTCTCATGTAGAATGCGCCGTGCCACACTCAACGTTAGTTTAGCCACAAGTTCCTTGCTATCTCAAATTGAAACAAAATATTTTAAAAATCATAAGTCAAGAGTCAGAAAAAAATGGTTTCGGTTTTTCACGATATAATCGTGAATGCAGTCTTCTTAATTGTGGTCTTCATTACTGAAGTTTGAGCCAGTCTTAAAATGCTTCGACGGAATCGGTGACGGGCTGTTTTGCGTTTAAGTTTTAAAAGGCGCTCCAACATTAAACACGTACACAATATCAGAGCTTGGAATATCGAATCGTACGCCGTTCGTTTGTTGTCATATGGATGGTGCCCAAGCGCAAATATGGATATAGCAGATGTTTATTTTCTATGGTTTCCTAGCTTCTGTGTGCCAGAACCGCGCCTTAATAAAATTATATTTACCCGACAATTATATTTATATTTTTTACACAATAATAGCCAACTATATTACATAAAACTTTTTTGTCATATATAAAAGAAATTGGTCAATTAGTTTAAAATAACCAGGAAACTCAATTATCTTTAATTTAGAAACGAGTATGCAATACTGTCTATATAAGTACTTTGTAATTAATTAAAGTGATTGATGTTAATTTAATTAAAACAAACCGTAAAATGTAGGAGAATTTTTTTTCTCAATAAGTACTTCTAAATTAACGGTAATTTCGTAATCGAAAATGATATATTAGTTATCAAACATGAGAATTGACGTAAGAACAATGATTTTCTAAAATATTGCTGGTTCTAAATTCTGGGCCATTTAAAGAACATTTGAGGGTCGAGTTGCCCTGCAGTGTAGCTTTAAAGCAAAAGTTGATACAATAAACACAGGGTCTGTTACTATGCAAGAAACGGTAGTAATTCATTAATTTACGGTAGGTATTTTCGTAAATGATCCGTGCTTTCTCATACAATGTATATGGTATTTGCACGAATGAATGTAGGTAACAGAATGTGTTAAAACTAATATATCATAAAATGTGATAAAACTGTCGCAAATTTTTTCGCCGCTGCCAGGAATCAAACCATGCGGTTCAATCATTACTATGCGTATCACGTGTCCAAGCATCAATGTTTCAAGTACGTTATTTCATTTTTCTACTATACTATTGCTTCGCAGCAAGGTATATTACTAATTTCTTGGCATTAACACATATAAAACGCATAAATAAACATTGAAAATAGTTCTATATCACTTTTAAAAAGGTACCTACTACAAATCTTAAAAATATGACTGCAGATTAATGTTACTAAAGTTATAGAGATAAATATCCGAAACTTGCAGATTTCGACAGTTTTATTTATTCGCATACTTTATAATTTGATACGCAGGATGTAACTCGCGTCTTTTAATTTGACCCGCGCGAAAAATGGAGAAAAAAGTTTGAATATAGTTAGAGGAAATATATTTTAAGTACAATAAACCGGACATTTTTTGTGTGCGAGAAAATGTTCTAATTTCTTACCAAATTTTCTTTGAATACTTCTTAAACTTGGTGAAGTGATATTATTAAAGCATGTAGAAAAAGTACGAAAAGATTGTCGCCGCTGTGGGAATCGAACCCACGTCTTCGGCATTCGCGGCCTGACGCTCTAGCCACTGAGCTAAACGGCTGTTATATTCGAATAATCTGCTAAATGGAAGATTCCAGCATGACTTCTGTACATGCCCATCATTTTCTCGGCCTTAATCCATGTATCTATAATGCTTTAATCAGTCTTCTAGTCTAAAATTAAAGTGTGCACCGATACGGGACATTATTTTTGCGTCTTTTTATAATTTTAAATTGTTACTCAGTGGTTGATTTTATTTCGAACTGTTAAAGTAAAAAAAAAAAACTGATATTCCTGTGGCGCATTAATTTTGGCGTCCTGGGCCAACTGCACATATATGGAATTTTATGTTTATTTCTTCCAAATGTCTAACATTTGTGTCCGATGAAGTCTACGGCTCGCCGTCGTTACATTAGACGTAATCACAAAAACACTCTGTATACCCCGTTTTGGTAAAAGGGCCGAAAACGTACTTGCTATTTAAGTAAAGTTTATCCGCTCTAATTTCAAAATCATGGCCTCTTTAGAGCGGCGAAGCGCGCATTCGTAACCCTGAGTAATCGTCACTCACTGCATGAATCACACGTAACCTTTTTTCGAATCGTATAACACTGTACTGACGGAATTTTATGCGCCCAAATGTAAGTTTATCAAAATTTTTCGAAAAAGAATAATAAAAATTTAAATAAGTTGAGATATGTTTGGTTACTTATTATCTTAAAGCCTAAGAGTAGGTACCTACTGTAAATATTTCGATTTTCATTTAGTTTTTAGTTTCACCTTTAATTCGAATTTATATAAATTACATCAAAAATTTTAATTCCTAATGATTCGAAATAAGGAAAACCTAAACCAAAATTTGGTAAAACTTTTTTTTAGTTCTCGAAAGTTGAATTTGCAGTGGTGAAAATTACATCTTACGACATTGCGATACAAAAATTGACTTTGTGATTTGATATTATCAATAAGGCTTGTTGGTGGTAAGTATCCGTAACAGAGTATCGTCTGTAAATATACACATATATATATATATATATATATATATATATAATATACCCAAGCTCACGTAAAGAGAACGTGGGATTTGGGTTTCAATTACAGCTGAGTTCTAACCTTATTTTTTTACTTATACTGATGTATAACTCCATAACAGAAAAAAATATGTTAAACATATCAGAAATATTATAAATAACGAACTGAACTATATTATAACGCATCGAAGGTAATTTTTATTACGTATTAGTCCAATAACGACCTTCGACCGACCTTCATCATAATAAATTTGTTCAGCACCACTAAATAACTGTTCACTGGTGATGCTTGTTGATTGAGTTGAACATGTCGGACGGCAGAGAAACAAACTTATTTGACCGGTGGTAGGTGTATTGTTTCGGTTTCGGTACGCAACATCTTTCCCTGTTGCACGACCACACAGAAGACCGGCGTAAAGTAGAAGTGTTGCACTTCTGCGTTTCGTCTGGTGAGTGAGGTAGCCGGGGCCCACCTTATTAAGAGGTGGCAACGCCTTGCGACCCTACGGGTGTTGCAAATGTCCATGGGCAGGCGGTTATCACTTAACATCAGGTGAACCGCCAGCTCGTTTGCCACTTCTTCACATTTAAAAAAAACCTACGATCTCGGCTATGGACGTTATTAGAGATATTTTAGGAAAGCTATCGAAAATTTACCCGAGAATGACTGGTATCCATGGTACGGTGGCGCCGTTGCTAAGCTAGTGGGTCGGGGGTCATGGGTTCGATTCCCTCGCGGGACAAGTATTTGTGCGACCCATAGATAGTTATTCCGGATCTGGGTTTTCGTCAGGCAGGCGGCCGGTCGTAAAAACATGGATAAAACCGCTTACATGTTGTGCCGACTCCGCCTAGGTGGGAGTTTGAATTCATCATTCTGATCATTAAGCAGATTATTCTGATCAATTCAGAGTTTAACTATCTTTTTGACGACTTAAATGACATTTGAAAAGTCATTTGACAGCTGATTAGTTGACTTCTACGTTGATCAGTGTATCAGAAACCGGGCGTAATGTAGGTTATAGTCTATTATAGCTCTCAATTAGACTAAAGTCTAATTTGAATTTCTGGTGGAGAAATCTACGTATTCCTGCTAATTACTTAACTTCCACATTTCCAGCTACCTTTCTTACAAAGTACAGAAGAGTAGAATAGTATCATTTGTGAATTATAAAATAACAAAATGTCATACACTGAAGGTACTAAATATTCAGCGTTTTAGTGTCAGGCGTTGACAGACCATCACATCGTATAGATAAGTAGAACAACTCAATTAATAAAAATAAGAACGATCGCGGCAGAAACGGCAGCGAATGTTTCCTTAGACAATCATTGTTTTCGATGCGACGCGAACAACGAATGCGTATGAATCATCGTTGCCGGGTTACCAACTTCTTAAAACCTGTTTCCCCGTCCTTTAGGTACCGCTATCAATCAAACAAAAAAAAATCATCTCATTAAGCATTTTATTATAAAAAAAAATAATTTTATTTCAAACAGAGCCTCGTTTTTTACTCGACTGCGCCAGAAAGAGGGTTATGTTTTTCGAGTGAATGTATGTATAATTCTTTGGCACGCTCAACTGCCTGAACGGCGTGATGGATTTTAGCTTGAGAGGTTCGTATTTACTGTGAGAGTGACACGGGTATATCAAAAAAAAAATACACAGAAATAGAGTCGGGTTTTTAGTTTTTTAAATTATATTCTACTTGTTCCTAATGCTTTTCTGCTTCGTAAATTTTAAATAAAATATGACCTGAGAGATGCATTCTTTAATTTTCCCCCAGCTTTAGGGGGACAACCCCGCAAATTTGTGGAATAAAAATATAGAGTGGGAACCCTGCGGCGTTAACACCTCAACACAGCCTACCAACCAAGTGCACACGCCCGCCACCCCCGTACCGCCCGCCGCCCGCATACACTTCTCTCCGCAACTTCGCTCCGTTCCGTTTAGAGTTCACATTTATTCCGTTCATCGTTCGCGTCGCAGTCGCATTTCGCCGGTCGTACGCGGTGCTCGCTTTCTGTTCGAATCCCCGACGTCCAATAAACTTAGGTAAGATTTTCTTTTTTTTTAATTACCCCAAAGCATTTAAAAAATAAAAACGAGAGGAAATTTCCGCTTCGCTTCCAGCTGAAGTGCCTAAACTTTTTCTTCGTTTTTCGATTTACCGGCCAATGGGATTACTATGCCATATTTACGTGTAAGGAACACGTTATTAACACGGGTAATACAGTCGATGGTCGAAGTATCCCTTTCTAGCTTCAGTTTGGAAGCGTAGAAGATAAGATTGAGCACATTTCTCGGTGATTAACGGCACTAGAGTGGGAGCTCTCGCATGCTTTCATCGGGGGCCATCAACTTTTTTAAACCATACGTGATAAACGTATACGTGCCTCGTATTGTTCTGTTCTTTGTATTTGATATCGCGAGGAACAATAAGATAACTGTAACGCCGACGACATGGCAGATTAACGTTATTGGTGCGTCATGCATTCATGGGCCCCTACCCTCAATAAAAGTCTTTAGTTAATCTTTACTTGAAACCAATTTATTCGTAACATTCTTTTTTCTCTCGTAAGTCGTTCCACATAGTAGGGAAATTCGGTGATGAGCTTACCATAAAGCTTTTATGACATTATTTTCTTTTAATAATTCACATAAAACTAATAAATATAAGTAACAAGTTTTTGTTCGATTGCAACAGGGATAACAGGTTGAAAAACTTATAGATTATACAAACACATAAGTTATAAAAGAAAAAAAAATGTAAAATGCAATTAGGAGGAATAGTGTAATAAAAAATAACTGTTCCTCCATGCTTCGTTTGACAGCATGCGATATTATGCTAATAAATACAATAACTCTGATGCGCCTACAATACGATGTCTTTCAACTTTAAATTGAGACGACTCTGATTTGCTGGTAACAAATTTATGTTTCGTCAACTAATAAATATCTTTTCAAGAGAGCTTTTTCGTACAGAGCTGTTCTCTTACTTCGAACGAGTTTTTATTTGATTAAACAAACAAAACCTCACAAAGTTTGATCACGACAGCTGTATCTGTTGGGGTCCTAAAATTAGAATGTGACTAACAAAGCACACGCTCGACACATCTAAACGTCCGTTAACTTAAAACATTACGACCCGGGCCATACTTTGTGTTTACTTAGGTTTTTTTTTGTCAACGGTCCCCATGTAAAGTGGGAAGGAAGTCAACTCGACTTCAGCACGATCAGGAAGCGTTGTTTATTTACGCGTGATGGAAAATTGACGTGTTACGGCGAACCGGTTTGGAAGTCATCGTTTCGTACTTTCGCCGCTAACACGCATCATCGCATATCTATGATCAGTCGACAGGAAAGCTGTTTCATTATTACAGTATAACCAAACAAACTTTTGTATGGTGCGCTCCGAATTTATAATCCGATCTCTGAAATCCGAACCTAGTTCTTATGACAAGTCCATTTATATTGATTTATGTAAAATGTCACAAGCAACAAAGTCAATCTCTTGTCATAGTTTATTTATTTTTTGAAAGTTCAGATTATTTTTGACATTATTTGTCACATACTTCATTAATAAAGCCGCTTTGATGGCTCCTCGTTTCATTTTCCTGTTATAAACAAAATTGTTGTTGAACATGAATCATAATACAAAGAACTGTTATCGGCATGTTTTCAGCTGAATAGTCATAATTTTGTCTAGTTATTTGCAATACTGTTCCTTTTTATTCGATATCCTACGTGAAATCTACATGATTTATATAATCTACTCTGTCTGGCCGACGGGACATTGTCTCGCGGGCTGATCGGAACGGGAGGGATCAGCCTACTCTCTCTAACCTATATGGAGGACATTTGTTGGAGAGAGTAGTCCCGAATGCGGAAATCGATTGCGAAGCGACCACACCACCCTTAATATTTGTAGATTAGGGGTGCTGCGTGGGTCGCTTTAGAACCGATTTTTAGCGATGAATGGAAAGATATACGGAGTTGTAGTTTTCGTACAAGTTTTAAGAAATTAATGTAATGGAAAAAATAATAACATCCTAACGTAATTCATCTATATCGTAAAATATCTAGAACTTATTTTTCATATTAATTTCAATAAATCTTAATAGATTCAGATAATGTTTTAAACATCCAAAACTACTCTGTTTTTTTTCTTCTTTGTACAGTTATCATATGTTAGTTAGCGTGGTAATATTTATGGTGGTAGGTGGTAGGTAACGTGAAATTCATTGACAATGCGTTTAGTATAGCTTGAAAGAAAAGTCAAATAGCTTCCCGTATCAATAAATGAACTAAATCTGTTAGACGTCGGACCTAAAGCAATATTGAACAAGGCGCAAGGGTAAAAAAGTACGTCAGATGTTTGCGACGGGGGTGATTCGGTCTAGGTATGCTAAGCGGGGCTGCAGATCAATACAGGCCGAGGGGAGCCGTTTGGGGGTGCGGGAATAATAATAGCGGCTTGCTGCGGGCGGCGCGTAAACGTAATCAGACTCAATGGCATCCCTCGTACCAACACGGTTCCGGAATGCGTGAGGGCGTCTGTATATTTTATAAATGTTTCATACCTACTGTGTACTTCAAATTGGTTGCTACAGCTCGGTAAAGCAACGTTATTCCTCGTCCATGTTTTAATGATATAGTAATAATAACAAAGCCTCTATTCATCAGTAAACACAATTGAAGTACCTACAACTAGTCTAGCTCCCACACTAGGACAACCCTTCTTGTGGGAAACTAGGCGCCAACAAGTGTTTACACAGAAATAATGAAATTTTACCGCAAAAAATACGATATGTTTTTTTTTCCGTCAATTATCAAATTTTATGGTTTCCGACATTTGTTCGGAAGTTTCGATGACAAAGAAGCCTTGGTTGTCAAGGAAACCTTATTGATACTTCATATTCCTTTATAATTTCATCTTGAAACATGTTTTTTTTTGTTAATTTTGTATCCGGTTAGGGTTAATTTTCACTAAAGATTATTTGTTAATGCATATGATAACTTCGCAATATTTTATAAAGGTCATAATTTAAGATTTTGTTTCCATAATAAGTATTTCCACATTTAATGAGGGGCTAATAATTTATTTAATTGATGAAACTATGTTGTATTTTTGTGGTTATTTATAATTGTTGGGCAGTTTAATAAACTTTAAATTATTCTTAGATTTCTTTTTTGATGCGTTTATCGAATAAAAAATTGAGAATAGAAGACCGCTCGCACCCATCCGTGATGCTTCTTCAAATCTTAATTGCCTTCAGCGAAACTTGACGCTCCATAAAGTTTGGGACGTAGATTTTAAACTTGCATTCTAGCAGTAGTGAGGTCGATGACACCTCACGAAACCGTGTTTCCAACGTGTATGTTTACGTCATTGATTTTAATGAATTCAACTGATTTACGGCGAAAAATGCACGTGCTATTAGAATCTTTTCTAAGATTATAATTTGAACATTTCTGGATTTATGAGGCTTCATTATAATAAAATTTTACCAAGTCTATATATATTATTAAATCTTAATATTATTATTTATTCAGTTTTAACACTTCTCCCTCGTCCTTTTTATTTCCCCCGATGCGGGGGCATCTGTCTGATCACGGTTTTTATTCCTTATTTATTTACTATTTCAATATTTATTTTATTGTAATTTTATTTTTCCTACAGTATGACATATTGACATACGTGTTTTATTGCGTTACATACGTTATATTTACTGGAATCAACTTTTCATTCTTTATAATTTATTAGTTATTTAGAAATTTAATGACTTACAAAAATTTATTTTGGATCATTTTATTACATAATATGATATTTACAATTCCTATTATATTCCATTCCTATTTTTCCATCTTTAAATCAATTAGACTAAATTTTAATATTCTTGCTTATTTTATGTCGATTTTTTATTTTGAATGTATAATAAATAAGCCATATTAAGTCTTAAAATAAGTCATAGTATAAAGTGAGGCTGCTTATGTATGTCGGTGGTTTGCATATGGGTAGATAAATTGAGGATATGTGGACACAACTAATACAGACGTAATGTTCTTTGTCCCCACGATTACAATGGCGTCCATTAAGCCGTTCGACAATAACGTGGGGCAGCCGGCCCTGTGCTTCCACAGTCTAGGGCGTATAATACGCGCTACTGTCATACAGAGCAACGTTTAAATTTCTAATAGTAATTTACATGTCATTATACTTAAATCGTGTACACGTTATTGCATCTTCGTTAAATTATGCATTTCTACGCTAAGGCAGAATAGTAACGATTTTGAATGCAATTTATTCTATATTTTATAAACGATTTCACGATCCGCGCTATGGAATCGTCGCGAATAAATTATACCTTTTTGTTTTTATATGCATAGACAAAAGCCATTGTGCATAGATAAATTAGTTATTTGAGCTCTAAGTTACTCAATTGAATCAATTATTAAAAACAAAAGGTTGTTTATAAATTTTTTGATAGGCAATTGAATAGATGACAGATTTTTTTTCTGATTACTTTGATATTTACTTTATTGAAATTAAGCTCTCTGGTCTGATTTTTCGAGCATAGATAACTCGTGATCTGTTTAAATTCGTTGCAACAAGGTTAAAATCCAACTGAAGTGTAATTAAACTAATCTTGTTTATGCACACCTTGTTCTGAGACGCTGACAAGGGACATCCTTACATCCCTCCTTACATCCCATTACGGGGGGTAATGGCATGTAAGGATGAAGCCAGCCAAGTGTTCAGGATTGTGTCTGCGACTAACTCATTTCCCGACTGGAGCGGAGGATAGGTTATAATAATGAGTACCATAATCCTAAACTAGTAATCAATTGGACTCGTTTATCTACTATAAAGAATATGAAAAGAAAAAAGTATGTGTGTACTTGTACTTATAAGAACTTATACTTCTTTAACGTAAAGACGTTAAATGCAATTGATAACGGTTTTTTTTAAATTGCTTGGAATTTTTGGTATATGTCAAAGAGTTGTTATTGATTGCCAAGATTAAATTGGTTACCAAGCATCATTTCGCTTT